AAAGAAATAAATACTAAGAATGTCCTAAGAGTTTAAACAATGTTAGTCATTGACAATGATCTATTTCTTAAACTTTGTGAGGGTGCATTACATATTTATTATACTACTCTTTGTTTCTTATAAAGCTTTTCTTAATAAATTAGTTTAAAATAAGTGAAAGTAAATTTTATGAATTGAAAAAATACCCAGATCTCATTACTTTTTCCCCTGCCAATCTGCAGGCTCAGGGGAGAAATTGAAGCTGAAGCTGAAGAGGAAGAAGCAGACAAATGTCTGGAAACCCTCATATGCGAAGGGTCTAGATGTGTTATGGAGCCCATTCTTCTGGCATTTGGAAAGATTTTACTAATAAGTTCTTTTATCCATTTTACTATCCATCATAAAGCTTTGTAAAAAGTCTGAAGATACGATAAAATACTTTTCTTTTAGATAGCCCCTTAAGACGCAAGACATCAATATGACTCTGTGGAAGATGGTGTAGAGCCACTTTAACCTGGCTTACATCCGCCATTGAATTCAGGTTCTACACTAAGGAAATGATCCTTTCTCAACATTTAAACCAGCTATTAGTGAAGTGGGTCTGCATTCTGTGTCAAAGCTTTCTATAGTTTCATCATAATTTGAGAAGCCATTAATCTACTGGCATCTTCTCTAAAGCGAACACTCAGGATGTCTGCTAAGGAAGTAAAACCCATGCCAGACTTAAAACGTTCCTAATCAATGACAAATTTATAAGAATTTCAGAAATGCAGGAGTGGGCTTCATTCCAAGGCTGCTCCCACCCTGGCAGAAAAATATAGTGCCTTAACTGTCTGCACTTATTTAAAATTTGTCACATAAACATACTTGAGTGTTATTTCTATTTAAATTTATAACAGCTTAAAATGTATTTTTAAAAATAGAATTCGGCTAACATCATACTTAATGGTGAGAAACTAGAAGCTTTCCTGCTAAGATCAGGAACAAAGCAAGAATGTTCCCTCTCACCACTCCTTTTCAACATTGGACTGGAAGTCCTAGCTAATGAAATAAGACAAGAAAAGGAAATAAAACATATACAAATTGAGAAGGAAGAAATAAAACTGGCTTTGTTCACAGATGACATAATTATCCAGGCAGAAAATCCAACAGAATTGACAAAAAGACTCCCAGAACTAAGAACTGATTATGACAAGGTTGCAGGATTCAACATTAATCTAGAAAAGTCAATTGTTTTCCTATATACTAGCAATAAGCTAGTAGAATTTGAAATTAAAAACACAATGCCACTTACAATATTACCCCCCCAAAATGAAATACTTGAGTATAAATCTGATGAAATATGTACAAGACCTATATGTAGAAAACTACAAAACTCTGATGAAAGAAACCAAAGAAGAACTAACTAAATGGAGAGATATTCCATTTTCATGGATAGGAGGACTCATTATTGTCAAGATGTTAGTCCTTCTTGACTCAATCTATGGGATTCAACATAAATGTAATCAAAATTCCAGCAAGTTATTTTACAGATATCAACAAATTGATTCAAAAGTTTACATGCATTGGAAAAAAATCCACAATAGCCAACACAATACTGAAGGAGAACAACAAAGTCAAAAGAGCAACCCTACCCAACCTCAAGCTACAATATATAAAAGCTACAATATAAAGCTTATATAAAGCTACAATAATCAATATAGTGAGGTATTGGTGAAAGAATAACAAATAGATTAATGGAACAGAATATAGAGCCCAGAAATAGACTCCCATAAATATAGTGAACTGATTTTTGACAACGGAGCAAAGGCTTTGACAATGGAATAAAGATAAATTCTTTTCAACAAACGATGCTAGAACACAGAGCACATCCACATGCAAAAAAGGAAATCTAGGCATAAACTTTACACCCTTCACAAAAATTACTTCAAAATGGATCATAAACCTAAATATAAAATGTGAAACTGTAAAAGTCAGAGAAGATAACATAGGAGAAAAATCTAGGTGACTTCGAGTATGGTGATGACTTTTTAGACACACCAAAGGCATGATCCACTAAAGAAATAATTCATAAACTGATCTTCTTAAAATTAAAAACTTCCTCTCTTCATAGGACATATTCAAGAGAATGAGAAGACAAACTACAAACTGAAAGAAAATATTTGCAAAATGCATATCTGATGAAGGACTATTATCCAAAATACACATAGAACGCTTAAAATGCAACAATAAGAATATGAACAATCCCACTTTTAAAAAGGCCAAAGATCTTAACAGACACCTCACTAAAGAAGACATACAGGTGGCAAATAAGCACTTGCATAACAATGAGATACCACTACACAGTTATTGGAATGGCCAAAATGCAAAACATGAACAACACCAAGTGCTGCTGAAGACATGAAGCAAGAGGAACTCTCATTCATTTCTGGTGGAAATGTAAAATAATACAGCCACTTTGAAAGAGAGTTTGGCAGTTCTTTACAAAACTAAACATATTTCTAACTATACAATCCAGCAATCACACTCCTTGGTATTTACCCAAACTAGTTGAAAACTCAGGTCCACACAAAAATTTGCACACAGACGTTTATAGAAGCTTTATTTATAATGGCCAAAATTTGCAAGCAACAGTGATGTCCTTAGTGAAGGGAGAAACAAACTGTGGTCCATCCAGACAATGGAATATCATGCAGTACTAAAAAGAAATGAGCTATTAAGCCATGAAAAGACACAGAAGAAACTTAAATGCATATTACTAAGTGAAAGAAGACAATCTGAAAAGGAAACATACTGTATGGTTTCAACAAAATGACATTTTGGAAAAGGTATAACTATGGAGAGACTAAAGAAAATCAGTGATTGCCAGGGATTGGGGGAGGAAGGGATAAATTGGCAAGTACACAGGATTTCTAGGGTGTGAAATTATTCTATATGATACTATAATGGTGGATACATGTCATTATATATTTGTCAAACCCCATAGAATGTACACCATTAAGAGTGAACCCTAATGGAAACTATGGTCTTTGGGTGATAATGATGTGTCAAGGTAGGTTCATTGATTGTAGCAAATGTACCACACTGGTGCAAGATGTTGATAGTGGGAGAGGCTGGGGGTAGGGGGCAATGAGTGTATGGGAAGCCTTCATATTTTGCTGTGAACCTAAAACTAGAGTCTATTTTTAAAAAAAGCTAAAAAGCAAAGTCTGTTGAAAAAATAGAATTAAACATTTGCAGAACCTGAAGCTCCTCTAAGAAACCTTCAGTCATCTTGTTAACGAACCTGAAGTGAGTTCGCTCACCCGTTACACAGCAAGCCAATCTCTGACACCAGGTGTGGTGGAAGAAAGTAGGAATTTTATTTTTGCACAGCACTGAGCAAGGAGAGAGGGCAGCTAACACTGAAATCCCAAACTCCCCGAAAAGCTAAAAGGAAGGATTTTTGTTTGGGGTTTTAGGTAGGGGAGGGGGAGAATATGCGCCTTGCTGGTCGGAGCTTTCCCACCAGCCTGTCTTTGGCCTTGAGACTACTTGATGAGAGGAGGGAGCCCGTGACCTTGCTGGTCAGCAGCTTTCCCACCAGTCTCTATCTTTTTGTGGGGAGGAGATAATCCAGGTGGTTGTCCTTGACGGTGTCTGTCTCCATGGAGGATAGTGGATTCTGGAGCCAGGAAGCCAGAGAGTAAGCAGGGAATGAGTGTTTTGGTTTTAACCCCATATATGCTGGGTTTAATGTGGGGAAACTGATATCAGGGTCGGTATCAACTCCCCCCTATTTTATGTCCATCTGTCAATCTTGAGGGATTTGGGGCAGCGACCGATCTAGCTACTTCCTGCTGAAATGGGGCATAGGTTGTTTCGTCCCACTGAACCAGTATTTTAATAAGGCAGTGATGCTGGTGGGCTCCTTAAGTTAGGCCTGTATCATGTAAGTAAGTAATCAGGTCTTTAATAAGAAGTTTTTCTAGAGAAACAAAAAGAGAAAAACAAGGTTAATGATTGGAGCAAACTATAAACCAGTTTCTGATCCCAGGGGGCAGCCAAGCAAGATTCCTAGAAGTCAGGGTCGAAGCATCTTTTGCAGTTTGAAATGTCTCTGATGGTGTTATCGGGCACTCATGTAGCTTTTTGACTGGCTTACACAGCAGTAGACGTGAATCTTTCTTAAGTTTATATTAGGTCTTCCACCTTTAGTTTGCAAGGCTTTAGGATAAAGGGAAGATTTAATTTTCAATGACTCTAAATGAAAATAATGCAAAAAAACCCTGAAAATGTTAGTTTGGAAGTTTTTAGCCAGATATTTCAGCAGACAAAGAATTCAAGATCCAGTCCAGTTAACAGAAGTAAAAGAAAAATTTCAAAGACAATTGAAAAAACTAAAATTCAATATCTATAAACATGTATTATAGTTTCTATTGAAACATAATCTTCCTCCCTAAAATCACCCTCAATTTCACTAGAAATAGCCAAACTAAGAGTAACTGGTTTGCAAAATAAGTTTAGTTTTAATAAATTTGGCATAATTATTTACATAAGTACAGCAAGAATAGCAGTTGATCATATAGGCTCTTGTTTTTTTTTTTAAAGATTTTATTCTTTTTCCTTTTTCTCCCCAAAGCCCCCCAGTACATAGTTGTATATTCTTCGTTGTGGGTCCTTCTAGTTGTGGCATGTGGGACACTGCCTCAGCGTGGTTTGATGAGCAGTGCCATGTCCTCACCCAGGATTCAAACCAATGAAAACACTGGGCCGCCTGCAGCGGAGCGCGCAAACTTAACCACTCGGCCACGGGGCCAGCCCCCATATAGGCTCTTTTTAATCTGCTTTGCTGGAACCTTATAAGGAATCTCAGGTTGAACTTTAAAGGTCTCTCAAGGAAAGCAAAGCAAAGGACCTGTTATCAGATTCTGCCTGCAGTACCTACAGATTTGGGTGAATCCCTCTCTTCGTGAGGTCCCCCAAAATACTGAGGTTCCTTGTACCTGCCAGAGGGAGCGACATTCTTTGCTGAACCTTACCAGGTTACAGAACCCATAAACACAGTACCAGGCCAATATTTCCAAGTGGCTTTATTCCAGAATGTCAACCTTCATTCCTCAAAAGCTGTCTTGTTATATTTAAGCCTGTATGTTTTTTCAAATATGATGTTCCAGTCAAAGTCTTGGTAATATAACCAGTGTTTCCAATTGTGTCCTGTTAAAAGAAGAACAGATTCTTATTGGACTTATGCAAACAACTATATTGCCATAAGAATAAGAATACTTACTTATCAGAGGGTTTTACGTTTTGGGGGGCTCAAATAGGGAGGAAAAGACAAATGTTTCAATTTTGTTTATAAATTGCTGTAAGTCATAGTTCTTCAAGAGAATAGAGAAAAAGGTTTTCTTAACTCTGAAAAAAAGCAAAACATCAAAAATCAGCAAAAATTATTTTAAAAAGTCATAACAATTATAATCATCCCTATCAGTTTATTCCGTCCTGTGTAATTGGTTCTTGATCTTAATCTTCTGTCAGCAGTTTGTGAGGTCATCAGGTTCTCTGTTCGAGTTCTGTAATTTTTACCTCGTTTAGTTTTACAATCTGAATGTTTATTAGAAACCTGTATTCTATAGTGTCAGAGTCCTTTCCATGAATTTCTCTGAAGATGAAACATATTTGCAAAAACATCAAAGTAAAATAGCCACTGTTCATAAATAATAAAACATTCAAAAATGGTAATTGACAAAGGCATCTGACCACGTCTGTGATATACAACACTTTGAGATAATAACCAGGATTATAGCTGGCAATCAGAACAGATCAGAGAATTTTTTAAATATTTATATAATAACACTCATTTACCTAATACCATTTAAGGAAGTTTATCATTATTTATTTGACAACACTTCTCATGTAATTTAACATACATAATAAGCCTTATTAGTTTAGCATTCTTTCCTTATAGGAAGACAGCAAATTTCTCCGAGAATTCCCAGGGGCCCTCTGAAAATCCCCAGAGAAACCTTCCCTCCTCTTCCAGGTCAAAAGAAAGCTTGTATTCAAGACTTGAATATTTGTGTAGGGGGGAAGCTTGTCAAAAATATTAAAAGCTTTAAAACATTTGTTCAGATAGGAAACCAGGTTCACTGCGAAACCATGTTCAGGTATCTATTCCAAGTGACAAGAAAACAGTCAAGGGGACACAGAGTTAAAATAGTCAAAAAAAGCCTTATTATAATCTTTTTATCAAGAGCAGATTAAAAATTTAGGAAAATTATCCTTTTAAGAAAGAGGAAACCAAGTTTTAATTTTGTACCAGTTTACTTTTGACATATAAGTTTATTTACTTAATTGGATTAACTTTAATCCTGGCCAACTTGACCGTATATAAATCTCTTTAGGGTTTTACTTTTACAAACCTTTGGTTACTTTTTTTACATTCAGAATTTGTCCCAGCACTTTAGGACAAATTTATTTTTCTCAACTCAAGAAGCAAAAATATTTCCATTCTTTATATCTTTTTACTGAAACCATATATTTTACTTTCCTTGTATACAGACCTTTTAGAAATATGTTTCCTCATAGAAAATTTATCAGCATGCATAAAACATGTTTATTAATAAATCTAAGCACTTTTTGGTCTCTTTGATATAAGAAACCAAAGGCAGACAAATATATGCTTAGTAGTTAACCTTTAATATTTTATCTTATGTGGAAATGACCTAGACACCCAATAAACTGTTATTATTTAACTTAACTTAGTAAAGTTATAAAATTTAAGTTTCCAAAAAGATTTTGGAAGCTGTTTTTAAGTATGCAGACTATAAAACATAATTATTGTACTTAAAACTCTTACCCAGTTTTAACAATTACTCTTCAAACCTTCATGTGGCATTACAGCATTTAACTATCATCCTCAGTTGTTTTCAGTACATATATCATAATATAATTATTATACTTATAATTATATATATAATCATTGTTAAAAAGTTTTTCCAAAAACTTTTATTTTTTTGAGTTTATTTAGTTTACCTTTTCTTAACAATTATATTTAGATCATCTTCAAAAACTCCATGAGACATTAAACAAAATTAGCTATTATACTGAGTTATGAGTTTTGCTGATAAATTTTGTAACAGACATGACATGAGCTCATTTGACCAGTAGACCCAGACTGTATGTTTGCATTATAGCCAATGCTGATAACTTTGAGGACACATTCATTTTAAATGGAACCAGTGAACTTAAACAGGCTTTTATTCATCAAAGATCATTTTATATCATATTAAATAACTTTGTCTCTTAGAAGTTTTTGCATATTCATTAAAGACCGCATTCCTTTATGAGAGATTTTGAATCCTCTTCTGAAAGAGGTTTTCAGAATGGCCATTACAATTCCAATTTATCTCAAAAGTTTGCTTATTTTTACTTGTTCAATTTTAGATCAGGAATTTTGAGGGATTTGAAGAAAAGCTCAGCTTGTTGGGAAGCTCAGCAAGAGTAGACAAAAGCAGCAGATTTGGGGTGGCTGCTGGCATGTTTAATTATTTAATTATTTTCTCTTAAAGAGGCAGTAAAGTATTTCTAATTTTATTTAGAAGCCTCAAAAGATTAAAACAGGCTCCACATTATTGCAGCTGGCTTTTCCAATTGCATACATCAGTTTGTGTGAACTGAAATTGGCCTAAGTATATCAATTTTTACAAAACTTTATCTTAGTTTTACTAACCCTTATACTTTTAATTATAACTTACATTAGAATTCTATTAACAAGTTTTGGTATTACAATATTGTTCAGTGGAAGCACTCCCAGTTAGACATAACATTTATTCCCAAAGAAAACATCCAGGCAAAGTTGACATAACCTCTTCATATAATATTAGCTTAAATACTTTAATCTTTATAGTCTTATTAATCTTAGTAGCCTAACTGTTGCCCCAAACAATGGTTGGTCAGGTTTCTCACTCTGATTTTTGCCTCCTGAGCTTTTAAATTTTTCAAACTGGGGTAAATAGATCAGGTTTGTCTGATGTCCTTTAATGTTGGGGAGCCAATACAGGGGTCCCTTTAGCCCAGCCAACCTTAGGCAGTGTTTTATTAAAACCTTTGTTTTAACTTCATTTATATCTGTTCCATTTATCCCATTGGGATGAGTCCTGTGACTCTTCCCTTTCTGATTTCTCTTTGTTAACTTAACATTTTTATTAGCATCTGTAAGACTACGAGAAGCTGAGACCCCAAATTTGATTAAGTTCTTAAGACTAGTCATTATAGTTTCTTCTTAATTTGGTCCTTTCATAGGTACTGATAAAACAGTTGTTTATCATAAGAGCTCTCTAAAAAGTTTTCCAACTTGAGGATCCATCGTTTGGCCATTTTTTTTTCTCTCCAGAGTCTAAAGAATATTGTGGCCAAGTGGTGTTACAAAAGAAAATCATCCCTCTTTAGACTTTGGATTATAGCTATAGGTCAACCATCAGCCAAAGTTTTTCCCAAGGGGCTCTTAGGTGGAATAAATGCAGCACTCCCCATGTTAACACTTTTAAAAGCGCAGACAAACAGACAAACAACAACAAACACCAAACGAGGCATGCATTCCCAAAAACCCTCGGCCACAAACGGAAGCCAAAACAAAGACCAAAACCAAAAACCAAAGTGCTTCCAGTCCCAGCTTAGTCCACGTGCTACACTCGGGGGCGCCCAACAAATGAAGATGCGCCATGCAGATCTTCCCAAATGAGCAAGGACAAGGGACCTCGGTTGTGCACACCCGGGGCACTTACCAAAATTTGCCCAGGGCGTCGCAGTGACTTCAAAACAAATGGAGCCCCGAGGGCTGCCAAGGTACCCATTGTTTCTGGCCGGTCCTGTTGGAAAAGGTTAACACAAAGACAAAAACAAAAACTACCAGCTACTTACAAGAGACGTCTTTTTAAGTCCTAAACCTAGTTTCTTCCATCACCAAAGCAAAAGCGCCGTGGGCCAATGACGTCTGGCTAGCAGCCAGTCGCTTGGGGCTGTCCCTGAGACAAGGGACTCAGGCAGCTGCAGGACAGCTTCCAAGAGAGGCCTTTCACCAGAGGCTGGTGTGCCACAGGCGAGACGTCCACCTGGGACATTGTCCCATCTGGGTCGCCAAATTGTTACCGAACCTGAAGTGAGTTCACTCACCCGTTGCTCAGAAAACCAATCTCTGACACCAGGTGTGGTAGAAGAAAGTAGGAACTTTATTTTTGCACAGCACTGAGCAAGGAGAGAGGGCAGCTAACACTGAAATCCCAAACTCCCCGAAAAGCTAAAAGGAAGGATTTTTGTTTGGGGTTTTAGGTAGGGGAGGGGGAGAATATGGCCTTGCTGGTCGGAACTTTCCCACCAGCCTGTCTTTGGCCTTGAGACAACTTGATGAGAGGAGGGAGCCCGTGACCTTGCTGGTCAGCAGCTTTCCCACCAGTCTCTATCTTTTTGTGGGGAGGAGATAATCCAGGTGGTTGTCCTTGACAGTGTCTGTCTCCATGAAGGATAGTGGATTCTGGAGCCAGGAAGCCAGAGAGTAAGCAGGGAATGAGTGTTTTGGTTTTAACCCCATATATGCTGGGTTTAATGTGGGGAAACTGATATCATGGTCGGTATCAATCTGAAATACAGTTTGAAACCCACCAAGTGAGACTTTTCTTCATTTTATAACTGATAATAACATCACCAAAAACCACAATAGAGTTAACATGGATTGAGCATACACTTCTTGAGGAACTTTACTAAATCTTTGTAAACATTATCTTCTTTGTTCCTCTCTGAAACCTTATGAGTCAAGTATTATCTTTAACTCATTTTACTTCTAAGGAAAGAGATGTACAGAGTTGCTCAGTGAGTAGCTCGAGGTCATGGGAGGGCAAATAGAAGAGATGGTGCCAATTTAAGGCTCTTGTACGCCAACCTGGAGCTCCTTTATCCTGGTCTCTCATTCTGTGGGGTTGGGCAGGACCTGGGACACCCAGAATGAGAAAAAATGACTGAGGACACAGAGTCCATCTGTGCCTTTCAAAGACTTTGCAGAAAGCAAGTTTGGTGCTGCCCAGAAGAGTATCCTCTGCCCCTTGGGTGAACTAAAGTGGAAAATGCTGAAGAGGCAGTTGAAAGTGTTCTTGCACTTCCTGTTCTCTACTCAAGCATCCACACATGCTCTCTGAGTAGCCATTATGTGAAGCTACTATTCTGGACAGTGTAAGTATAGGAGTGGACCAGATAGGGAAGGTTCGGATTCCAGGTGGAGGAAACAGCAAATGTGAATGAAGGCTGTGAGTTGGGAATGAGCAGACAGACGTGGTGAGGAGCCTAAGGCAGTACCAGGACCTGTCAGGAAAGCTTTTTGCATTAAAAAGATAGGGAAGTTGAGGGAGAGACAATTAAGCTCTTTTTTCCTAACAAAGAGCTGGCACCAGGCTCTATTGAAGCCAGCACAAACTAAAGCTTTGTTTCCCAATTGACACTGCCCACTGAGGCCTCTTCACAGAAGAGTTCTGCCAGAAGCGAGTTAGATTCATTTTTGCCATACTGAGGATGCGTGTGAGTGCTTTAGGAGTGGGAGGCCCTTTGGAGAGATGTTTTTAAGCTGCCTCTTCCATAGTTTTCCAATTAAGGAGTGTTGGCATCTACCTCCCTAGGCGTTCCTGTTTCATCCATTATGCTCCAGTAAGACTGAAGTGCTACAGTCCCCTATTTGTGGTCATTCCTCTCTCCTACTCAGGCTTTTTCTGTTCTGGCTCTTTCACATGCCTTATTTTCAGCCTCAAAGTTACTTTCATCAGAAAGATTTTTTGGATCCGTCCCAGGCTGACATCAGTTGGGCTTTTTTTCTTTGTCTCATAGAAGCTTTTGTGTGCAGAAAACAATACTTACTGTAGCCTGTGTAGTCAATGACATTCAATCTACTACAGTTATAAGTTGAAAACCTTGCTTCTCTTAAGCTTTTAAACCTAACTGCAAAAATCTGGTAAATTAAGAATTTTTAGGTTGAAATTGAGCATGGTTTGTATTTATTTACTGTTAGATTAGCTTATACATTTCACAAACAAAATGTGCATTGTAGGGGAGGAAGACATTTCCTTTACCTGATCTGGGTTCTTCTGGCCAGAGTGATGCGGGCTTGGTGAGTCAAGTAGTGGAAAGAAAGATTTCTTGGACTCTCAAGGTCTGGCAGTAGTGCTCTTTTATTCAGATAATAGCATGGAGTAGCATGGGGACAGGATCCACGGGCAGTAAGAGCTGCAGCATGGGGACAGGACCCACGGGCAGTAAGAGCTGCAGCATGGGGACAGGACCCACGGGCAGTAAGAGCTGCAGCATGGGGACAGGACCCACGGGCAGTAAGAGCTGCAGCATGGGGACAGGACCCACGGGCAGTAAGAGCTGCAGCATGGGGACAGGACCCACGGGCAGTAAGAGCTGCAGCATGGGGACAGGACCCACGGGCAGTAAGAGCTGCAGCATGGGGACAGGACCCACAGGCAGTAAGAGCTGCAGCATGGGGACAGGACCCATGGGCAGTGAAGAGCCGCAATGTGTTGAGGCTTAGAGATAAATTTATAAGGCATAAGCATGTGAGTTATTTCTTTACAAGACAAAGGAAAGATCATGAAAAAAATCATTGTTAAAATGGTATCAGTGCAAGTGGGGTCTGGTTATTGGGTGGTCCTTTAACTTTAGATAAGAATCAGATTGGATTAAGTCAGGACATTCTATGCTTCCTGGAGGATGATACAGATCAGTATGTAGGGCAGGACACCTTGGACTTCTCTCCCTGGGGCAGAGGTAGCCTTGATCCTCATTGTAAAATCCCCCCTAAACCCATTTGGCCCCAAAATCTTTTGGGGATATGGACGATGGTCAATCTTCTGTAACGACTTCTGGCTGTACAAGGTGGTAAGCTATCCCTAAATGGGGCCATAGGGGTACAGGCAGGAAGTTGAGTGGACTGGAAGATTGTGCCTCTGGAGTCCAAGGCTGACAAGGTATATAGATCCTCTGGAGAGGAGAGAATCATTTCATGAGAAGTGGTCCAGGAGGAGAAACTTTGTTGACACATGGAAGACAAATAATGAAGTAGACAACAAATTATAATAAGAAATACAATCAATGATTAACCAATGAATAAGGCTTTGATAGTAGTCCAGGGACCAGGACCTCACCAGGAGTCCAACCAATCATTTAGGGACAGGGTAGGGTCAGATTTAACTTGGTGGCTCATATCAGATAGGAAGCCAGAGATATTTTGATGATAGTCAGGAATATAGACACAACATTTGGTTTTTGAGGACTGCCTTACTCCTTTGGGATACATCTAAATGGAGCAGCAAAAGGCTATGTTGTATATCATTTAATGCCATGTGGTAAATTTGTTTAGGACTTCAATGTGCCAGACGACACTTTCGATTCCTAATTAAGAAACGAAAATTGGGGCAAGGTGATCATACCAGTGGAAGACAGAATGGGCCCAGTGTTGTCATAGGTTGGGTAAGTTAGCAGGAGAAGATACAGTAAATGTAGTCCTACCTTGTATTCAGACAAAGTCTAAGGTGCATCACAATCCATCCAGGCAGCAGCCAAGGCCATAAGTTGGAGCCACATAACCACTGAGTGCTGTGAGGGGCTAACCAACATATGCTGGGCTGTCTATCCCAGTCAGTCCCAAACCAATCAGTATTTTTTAAGGCTATGATATGAGAAGACATATAACAGAGAATTTGTCCCATACGTAGGATGTTATTAGGCCACGTATCACAGGTGTGATTGGTTTGTTCCCCAATATAGAGTGGCCTTTTGACTGAGTTGACCACTAGTAGGAGCGAGCCAAATACGTTCGTCCCAAATTTGCTATAGTCCATCCTATGTGTATTGATAGGTTGGAGACTTTACCTTAGGAACTCATTGTTTATGATCCACGTGTGACAAGGCAAATTTAGTTAGCATGTGGGCAGTAAAGTTGAAGGAAAGCTTTGATTGTGCCCAGGGAGCTCCCAGGTATCAGAGACCGATGGCCACAGGGAGACATTATGATTAGTAATAGATGAATCTTGTAGAAGAGAAGAGATAGAATCTAATATCCATGACTGTGTACTATAGCTTCTACTGAAACATAATTTTTCCCTCTAAAATCATCTCATTTTTACAAAAGATAGCCAAATTAAGATTAACTGGTTTTCAAAATAAGTGTAGTTTCAATAAAACTTGGCCTAATTATTTACATAAGTGCAGCAAGAATAGCAATTGATTATACAGGCTCTTTTAAATCTGCTTTGCTGGAATTTTTTTATGAGGAATCTCAGGTTGAACTGTAAAGGTCTCTCAAGGCCAGAAAAGCCAAACCAAGGACTTGCCATCAGATTTTGCCTGCAGTATCTACAGATTTGGATGGACTACTCTCTTCTAGAGGTCCTCCAAAAGATTTCAAGTTTCCTTGCACCTGCCAAATAAGCAAGCTTCCTTATTTACCAGGTAAGATTGCCAGAATCTCTGTAAACAAGGTACCAGACCAATATTTCCAAGTGGCTTTATTCCAGAAAGTCCAATGTTTGTTCCTGAAAAGCTGTCTTGTCGTATCTGAGCCTGTATGTTTCTCTCAAATATGACATTCCAGTCAAAGCCTTGGTAATATAACCAACGTGTCCTGTTATAAGGAGAACAGATTCTTATTGAACTTATGCAAATATTGCCACCAAATAACCATACTCACTCACAAAGAGTTTCCAAATTCTGGAGGGATCAGGTAGGGAGAAAAAGATAAATGTTTCAGTTCTGCTCATAAAGGTATAATTCCACCAAATTGCTATGTCATAGTTAACAATAAGAGAAAAAGATTTCCTTAAATCTGAGAAAACAAAACAAAACATCACAAACTCAACAATATTTCAAACAGAAGTTATAAAAACTTATAGTCATACTCATCAGTTCATACAATCTTGTATAATCGATTCTTGAGCTTAATCTTCTGTTAGCAGATCTGTGAGCTCAGTTTCTCCATTAGAATTCTGTATTTTCTTACCCAGTTCAGTTTTATGATCTAAAAGTTTGTCAGAAACCTGTAGTTGAGAATCTTGCGTCAGAATTGTTTCCATGAATTTCTCTGAAGATGAAACATATTTGCAAAATCAAAAAGCATCAGAGTAAAACAACAACTATCTGCAAATGAAAGACTCAAAAGGGCAATTGACAAAAAAAACTTGGCTCTTTCTGTGACATACAACACTTGTAGATAATAACTAAAATTAT